TGGATTGAGTGCTTTGAAGTCCTTCAGTTTTCTTTCTGCTTTTACACCTATCAACATGTATCTCCATAGCCTTGTCTTGTTGACCACAGGGACAAAGGCAGAATGTGTAACACTGCTGAAAACAGATATGTATAATTAGTTTTGAGGCGGGGCCAAAGTGGGTTTGTTTTTACCTACATCCACACTCAGCCTTGTCACTCTCCTTTTCTGTTTTCCATGGTCACTGTCTCTGTGAAGCACCTTTGCTTTGCAAGTTGGCCTGACCTCTTACAAAGCTCTTTTTGTCGCTACGTCTAACATTCTTTCAATTTTTGCTTTAACATCATATAAGTCCCATTTCAACTTTGTTCTAGAGATGAAAAAAGAGCAAGAAAATTTAGTTTCTCTGTCATTTTTGCTCTTACAATCTTTGCTGGAGTTGCCAGCGAAGTTTTTAAGGTAGAATCCATGCTTCCCAGCCACATTGGCATTGAGAAGGTTGTAGAGCTCATCAGCCCCTCTACTGTCTTATTTTTGGAGCTAAATGAAAAGTTAAAAGAATGTAAAGTCTATTCCACTTTCCTTTGCATATTTACAATATGTTAATAATTGCACCTAATGTTCTCAAAGTTAGAATTATTATTTCTAATGGTTCTTGATTTGAAGCATTATCATATAGGAGTCAGCTTGTCATGGCTTTGACAAACACTTTATCATTCTATTTAAGGAATCAGTTTTAATCTTCAAAGAAAAGGGCTTAGTTAATTTAGAAGTCAAGCAGAGAGATGGCAGTCATATGAGCTTTTAGCACAATATATATTCATAAAATATCCCCCATGAAATAGTAAGCCTTAGGGACAGATGCAGTAATACAACATTCCCTCTTTTTTTCCTCCTGCACATGTCTACTCCCACTGAGGATGGTCATTAAAAGTAAGTGCCATAAAAAATATGGTTTTTAAGAATCTCATGGAGAAAAGAAGAAAGAGCAGGACTGCTCTTTGGTAGGTACTGGTGCCTTTAGGGGAGCTGATTCAGCTAAGTTTGGGTTAATATTTCTCAAGTCAGAGAGAGAACTGTCTTAGTCTCAGAGCAATTATTAAATGCTATTACTTGCAATCTGATGGTAGAATAATACAGTCTCCTGGGGGAAGGGGAAAAACTCCAGTATCAGGGATATTTAAAATGAGACTGAATAAAAATTGCATGAGGTCCTATATGCAGCAGTCCATTAGTACTGCACTGCGATAAGACCTATCTCATGCCTTATGTTCCCTTCTAGAGAAAAGGAATTTTGGCCTTAACAAGGGCTACTTCATCATCATGATTATGGAGCTATTCTTGAACGCCTCTGAACTCCTATCTGTCTGATTCTTGTAGCCATCACTGCTTTTGCCATTTTCTTCCCTGCTGACAGTTCCCAGCCTTTTGTTCATAGCACCCGAGAAAGCCATCGGCACTGCTTCTGTCTTCTGGGCACGCATCCATAAGCAGTCAAGAGAGGATTTATACACTTAACTCCAGGAAATGGCTTTTTCTCTTCCTACCCCCTTACTCTCTCTCTCCTAAAAGATAAGCACCTCATTTTTATCAGCTGTTTTTCCTGGGTGTTCATATTCCTGCATATGTGTGTGCAGAAATGCCAATCTTGACATATCTTTGTGCTGCTCTAAACCTGCTCTATACCCGAATGGGCTGGGTACAGCCCCAGCCCAGCTACCCAGCCTCCAGCGGCGAGCAGACAGGTGAGATCAGGGATGCTGGAGAGTGGCTTTACAGGCATGCTCACAGCAGCAGCCCCTGTTTCACTTTCCTGCATGAGCTTGGAAATTTGTCTGCTAGATCCTGAGTACCTTAGTCCTTTAGGAATGAAGGCAAATCCATGTAGACCATATTTCTGCAGGATTGATTGAGCTTAGTGTTTATCCTGTGTGTAACACAGACCATTGCAATTCATGTGAGCAGCCTTATGCTGAGCCAGAGGGCTTTAACTGGAGCAAAGCATCTGAGTCCTAAAGAAACTGAACTCTTTGCCAGCTGCCGAGAAGAAAAAAGACCAAAGTGTCATTAGTGCCCAAGCCTCATGCAAGGGGAAGGAAATAATTCAAGTGCAGTTTTTTCAATGGACCGAGCATGCCCCTGGAGTAGGAGGAGGTGAAAACGCATTAACCAAAACCCAGGGGGAAATTTCCCTCCCAACCCAAAACAGGGCGAGCAGCGTGTCCCTGTGTGTGCAATCGTCTCCTCCGCTTTAAAGGCTTCTCGGTACATGATTGAGACACAGATACTGTAGTGGATAGAGAAGAAAATCTCTGGTCACAGACAGATCCTAGAGGTGTATTTGCTCTGTATGCTGGCAAAGTCTTTCAGTGCAAATAAGAAAGATCTCTTGTAATAAATGATGAGTTTTTAAGAAGCTGTGTTTGAGGGTTTTTTTCCTAAAATAGTCCTGCAGACCTTTCTCCATAACAATTCCATTTTTGGCAATTCTGCTTGAAGAATCTTTCGTATGAAATGGGAATGTTTGAAGTGAATCATTTAATTTGCTTAACTTAAAGAGGTTCCTACTACATTTAATTTTAAGCTGATTCTCTCTAATTAAAGTTCAAGTCACTCTTAAATATTTAGCATTAAATGAAGATCCAGGAAAGAAAATGTAATAATCTTTTCCTTTTTTGCTTTACCTGAAATATGCCTTTTTTGAGTTTTTAATTTTGAAACACCAATTTAATTTGAGCTACCAGCATGAATAATTTCCAGGGTTTCAAGTACAGTTTAGTATTTTAAATTGAAAAGCTAGGTCAATTAATTCTGTATTATTTTAGAGACTTCCCTTATAACAGTTTCACTGACGGAGAGAAGCAGGGGAGAATCAAATTCCATGTTGATCAAGTGATCACCCATCTAAATGACCAGTTAAATATGCAGCCTACGTATTTTTCCATGCTTGAAATACTGGGGAATTTTTGGAGGCTATGCTTGCTGAGGTGTTTTGGTAGCTTGCCCTGGTTGGCCTGTATCCTCAGACTTGTGCACCTAGAAGGCTGGAGCATGAGAACTGTGTTTATTTTCAGGATTTCAGTGCAATGAATGGTTACGCAGCTGTCCGTGAAAATCAGACCATTTTAGGGGACTCTCACGCTGCAGTCAGTCATCCAGTTCCCATGTGGCTAAGCTTGAAAATGTGAACTTGATGTCTATCTAATAAGCAAGTACTGGCTGTTTTCTCATCGGTTCCCTCCCCTTATTTCTTGGTTGGTAGCTATTCATGTTCAGCTGATTTTCTTTTTTTTTTTTTTTTTTTTTCAGCCTAACTGACTATGACACTAGACAAATCAGTGAGCATTTTGTCTCCATGATTAATCAGTGAGCTTTCAGTTTTGGCACTGTGTCGTAGCATTAGTTAGAGGATAAATAAATAAATCAATCAGATATTCTTGACAACTGTAAAATGATTAAGCAAAGGGAAAAAAAAAAAACAAAACAGCCATACAACAAGAAGTTGAATGATCACTTCATCACTCTTTAATATTAAATCAAAAAGTACATGGTTTTTTTGGCTTGGATAACTCAACATGCTAACTTTGAGTCAACATCACTATTTCCTTCTTCCCACTGGATCTGCTGGTGGTTGTTACATGGGACTGAGAGACTATCTGAATTTCTGATGGGTTAAGTTGGAGTTGCAGTTTCTATTTTGAAGCGTGGTTTTAGTCTGAAATGGAGTATGTACAACTGGAAATTGCGCTCTCAGTGAATCACAGTTCTGGCCGTTGACCTGAGTGACAAAAGCCACTTTCTCCCTCTTGCAAAGCTGATGCTGTTCAGGGAGACTAGGTTGGCTTTACTTCTGCCTCTCACTGTATCACCACATTGCTAACTAATTGCAAGGGCAAAATCTGTTCTCGTTTAGTGTCTGGTCAACGTTCTTGTTTCTGATGGTGTTGGATAAGGCGGCTATGGGAAGGCTTTTGCCCAAAGATTTTTACTTTTTCACAGTCAGGACGGATCTCAGTTTGCTGCCCCCAGCCTGGTAGCGGCTGCAGGTCCAGCAGCTGGAATGTCCTCATGTGCTCTGAGCAATTTTGGCCTGAGGTCTCTGGGAGAAAAACAAAAGGAATTCTTCCTATCTCCCAGCTACATTTGTTTTATGTTTTGGAACACAGGGTACAATCTCAGTGCCTGAGTATTTGACCCTTCTTGTCAAATATACAACTTTTCTTGACTGCAGTTAAATTTAAGCTAAGATGTCAGAGGGTAGATTTTGTCTCAGCCCATACAAAATGTTCGTTTTGATGCAATTTGGTCTGTCAGATATGTTAGTGCTAAACATAAAATTATGCCTCCATACAATTTTTCTCTGAGGCCTTCTAGCCACTTAAACTATGGATGACCCATAGATACACTTACTCAGTTCAGGTGGCCCTGAAGGAATTGTGAACATTTTGGCTATTACAAATATTATAAATAATTCCTGAAATCTTATTCAAGAAAACATGTTTTGTGTGTGCATGCAGTTAGGGGAGAAGGAAGGAGACCCCTTGAGGTTCCTCCCGAAGAGATGAAAACTGAAATGCATCCAGCTCCCTTAGCTGAGCCCTGATGTAAAGAGGTGCAACCTTACTGAATGCATTAGTTGACCTATGTTATCATTCTGAGTTTTGTTTCAAGTTAAATACGTCCTCGGTTATAATATCAGCATAATTTGCATTATATCATTTGTAATGGTGACTTCAGAAAAGAAGACACCTGAATTGAAGCGTGCCAGCAGTCAGCCGAAGCATTTCCCTTACCTTCACTTCCATAAAGTCACATCTGAAGGCATGTGTTTTTCTAAAACTGCTCTGTCTGCCTGATGGCACAGCAGCACAAAATATTGCTGTGGGTGGGTGAAACTATCCATCCACACCTAACAAATGAGCACCCTGAAAACTCCTCTGCGAAATGCCGTTCTCAGGATACTTTGTGTTCTCAAGGTCAGACTGTTTCTTAACCTTTGTGTCTTTTTTCTTTTCTTTCAGGGTTTTGAGGACCCCAAGGACAAGTAAGCAAATTTAATTCTGTCATACACTGTTATGTTTGCACATTTGGGATTTTTGTCTCATATTAAAAAAAGACAAAAATTAATGCCCAGCAGCCAAGAATAATGCCTGGACTCCCCAGAGGTTTCTGCTGGAGGGACAGCCAGTTGAGGGCATGGGATTGACTGATGCGCATTCAGAACTGCCGCTGCCCCCAAAACATTTGCGTGGTTCTAACTTGCTGTTGTAATTAAAATGCTTTTGCTGTTCTTCCCTTTGCCCCCAATATTCTTTGCTATTTGCTGCTTTGAAAATGTCCCAAGAACAAAATATTCCTTTAAACTATGTCTAAGTGTTGAACATCTCTGATAAGAAAAGTTTATGTATGTATTGAAATATATATATAATTTCTGGTTTATTTTTATATATTTTATATTACTCATTATTACATATTACTTATTTCTATATATAAAAATGAATTCAGAAATAGCAGCTTATTTGAAAAAGTAAATTGAAACTTTCACACTCAAAAATACAGCCACGTTAAAGCAGCATTTTAATTTTTTCATATAGAACTTTAAAAAAAAAAAAAGGTTAAAATAACAATTTAACAAGAGTGGCATTTTGAAAAATTGCTTTTGGAGGAAAAAAAACGAAACCATGTTCACTTTTTAACTTCTACAGCTGGACATAACACAAGCGTTTCCTGTATTGAAGGTGTTTGGAATAATTTCACATTTAGTCTTACTGAATGACATTAGTTGTAAGCTTGCTCAGAGCAAGATAGGTGACAGTAGAGGAGACTGATTCCTAAAATACGTTGCTGTTACTCCTTATAATGTTTCTCTGGCTGGCGGTTGGGACTATGTGGACATCTGTCTAAGTGGACAAGCATCTGTCTAAGCGTCTAAGTGGACAGCTAAATGCTTTTGTGGGGCCTAAGCATCCAGCTTTGGGAAAATTCACATTATGGTGGTTGAGCATTGAAGGCAACTCCCTAAAAGTAAAGGGAAGTGATAAGTTTGAACATGGCAATGTTAACAGTCATTCTCTCCTTCCCTTGCCCTTCACTGCAAACTTGATTTTCCTAACATTTAGCACTCTGCACCCTGGGATGTTTCGCTGGTGCTACAAGGTGTCTAAGGGGGAGTCAGCAGGGTTTCTTGTTGCTTCCATGGCTGCCAGGAACTCAGTCGATGTTAGACATACTTTGGACAGAAAAGAGCTAACAGGTTGCAACAAAATAATTCTTAGGAATACAAAATTTTTAAGTATCCCTCGTGACATAGCATCTCTACTCATAGTTTGTGCAAGAAAGCATAAATTCAGCTGCCTCAGTGGTGGTCATCCAGCTGGCGAGGAACAGCATCTCCACCATTGCTCCAAGGACCGTAATGTCTCTCCTCCATCCTAGAGTTTGAAAAGGTTACTTGAGCTGTTACGGCCAATAGTGAAGAGCTGAGTATTTACAGTGCTGATTCAGCATGATGCCATCTTATTATACAGATTGCAGGACTTTTGCATTTCTGTTCAGCACCAAAAGAAGCTACTACTTGCCTCAGATGCTCTTGATCCAGAAATCTGTTTAACTCAACAACAAAGATTTGGCAAAAAAAAAATCTCAGTAGAAAATGTTCGTGGTGATATTGGTTAAAATCAGATACCTAAACCATGTCAGGCACTCAACCCAGTGTCTTTACGTGCAGGAACACTGAGCATCGATACTTTTCTCTTACAGCAAAGGAAGACGTAGGCACCATGCATCTCTGAAAACAGGACCCAACTCTTATGTGCCTAAATGCAGATTTAGTTATTGAATCTAGGCATGAAGCATTTAAAATTATGGCATACATGTAGTTTTGGCAGTGGTCACAGTCTTCATTTGCAGAAAGTAATTAAATTAGCAGAACATTTTTGGTTTACTCGGAAGCCAGAATGTCTGGGTTAATTGCTAGCTTTCACATTTGCAAGCAGAGTGCAAAAGTTGCTCCAAGATCTTTGTGCTGTTCCTGTCCCTTGCAACAATTTTCTGTTGGCTGCATTTGGGGAAATCTCGGCAGTGCTTTTAAGAGGTGTTTCTACAAGTTTCATGGCGGCCTGAAATCCTTGGGTTTTGCCCCCCTCCCCCCTATCAATATATCAATAAGTATTTCCACATATGAATTTCATTAGTCTATGGCAGTACCTCAGCTCTGACTTACAGGCACTGCCTCCAGGGCACTCCTTAGCACAGGGAAATCTTGTATTTCAACTTAAAATTACATTTATGCAAATGTACTCAAACTTGCTATACAGTAATTTAGTTTGGGTAGAACTGGCTGCGAAAGTCACCTGAGCAGCTAGGTATGTGCAAGGTGACTAAGCTTCCCTGCCGTCTACGTGAAGGTGGCTGCCTGACTGCAAGTATCCCAGCCAGGCAGCTTAAAACCTGCTGGGGTATTTCTACACACTCGGCAACCATGGAGTTATTGCAGTATTAGAGATACCCTCAGCAGTATAATGACCCGTTACAAAACTGGAGGCAGTTGAGGCCAAAGCCCGAGCAGGCAGTTTCTTCTTCTCTTTGCATCTTCCTGAGTTACGCTTTTAGACTGGAACTTGAAATTTAACTGAGGTTCACTGAAGTGCTGAGCAGACTCTTTTGCTTTGGTTCTAGGGGAAAACGTATTGCATCTCTTGTATGTGGTATGAAATGACTAAATGTGAATGACCCAAATGTGTAAATAACTTGCAGGATCTTGGAAGACGTTCTGTAAATACGAAGCCTAATGATTTCCTTGCTCATTTTTATGAGTCCAGAGCACATTGAGAAGACTGAGTGAAAATAAGCAGCATTGTCTTGAATGCTCAAGCAGATGTGCTTCCTCTTGGGAAGCATCTAGAAGTAAATTTATGTCCTGCCCTTCTAGGGACAAAACCACTTTTAATTTCAAAATGGAATATATGAAATTCAAGGAATTAAATTACTCCAGAGCCCAAAAATGAAAAACTCTTTTCCCCAGACCCACTGAAATATTAAGATTGCCTAATATAGAGATAAGACCTTGAGACAAACTAGGTTTGCGATTGCCATATGGTCACTAAATAGATACCAATGGTGTGTCGTCATGACCCAGCTGAGGTGTAGGCACATTCAACTCGCTGGCTGGGGCAAAGGGAGTTGGGATGGAAATGAGTAGCTGGACCTGATTTATTTTTCTCTTGGCAAGAGGTATGTGGTAGACTTGGGGTACAGAGGGCTTCTTGAAATCTGGTCCAGTTTTGCAGGAAGCTTTTGGAGAGCCTTTCTTTTGGAAAGGGATCTTTAACTTTTAAAACAGAGTCACGCACTGGTTTGTAAGCTGCTTTCCGTGGTCGTCCCTGTAGGGGCCTGTTGGCTGCAACACAGTGTGCGTTATGCGCTGTTATGCACTACAAATAAAACAGAGAAAATAAAGGAGTGTGGCTTTTCATCGTGCTTGTCAGACCTCAGGATTTTTTCCTCCAGAGTGCCTAACATGAAGGTCACACAACATGAGCCGTAAGTTGCTGTGCCATCATGGGGTTTGCACATAGAAATACTTATCCACTGGAATATGCCCCAGTGCAACTATTGGCATATCCTGTGGATAACCTTGGCAATCATACAAGCAGAGCACTTCAGGATTAGTTTTTTATTTCTGCCTATAGCTAGTTTTAAGGCAGGCCATTAAAGTGACAGCATCAAGTCATTAAAGTCCTGCTAGATTTCAAAAATAACTAGAGAGTTTGAGGAGGTGCTTCAGGTTTCCTGATCCTCAATGCAAAATGCCTCAGGGCGGTTAAGTTTTCAGTGTTATTTTTTTCAACACTTTTTGAAAATCAGCCTCATTTTTCTGAAACTGTAGCTGAGCATCAGAAACATACTGATACTAAAGATTATAAGCAATTTAGAAATCTTGTTCCACGTACTTAGAAAGCAGAATCTAATTTGTAGTTTTTCTTTTGCTACCTTTTTCTTTTGCAACCTTTCTTTGAGTTAAGTAAACAGAAAATTTTGTCTGGTTTATGTGTTATACTCATAAATACCTACATGAAGGGGAAGCAGTGGGGCATCAGGCCACATTTTTTTTCCCCACATGTTCGTTCTGTGAACAGTTTTTTCTCAAAAATGGAGAAGTGTTCAAGTTTGGATATTTTCAGAGAAATATTTACAGAAACTATTATTAGGAAACAACAAATGTGTCTGGTTACGTAAATACTTTTGCCAGTTCAGGCACTAACAGCCACAACAGCACAGCAGTGCAGGAAAGAATTAAGTCAGAGGAGTCGTGGAAGGAGACTACTGACCGGTTTTAGAGAATGAAGGACGGTAAAGAGACTGCAAGGCAAGAAAACAGATGGATGTAGTATAGAAAAAGGACAAGTAAATCAAATCCTTTCAACTGGTGGACTCAGGACTGTCAATGAGCTCTAGAGCTGATACCATTTTCCTCTCAGCTCATAATCTCTTTTCCAACTTGAAGCTGTCATAAGCGTAATGCCATTAACCTCCAGCTTGTTATACAGTGAAATGATAACATACGGTGAAGAGGGGGAAATTATCTTGTCCGCTGATGCTCCCTTTTTGTGACATCCTCAGGAATACACAGGAAAGTATGAACCCAGAAGATGAAGTGGATGAGTTTCTGGGCCGTGCCATTGATGCCAGAAGTATTGATCGGTTACGCTCTGAGCACGTGCGCAAATTCCTCTTAACATTCAGGGAGCCTGACCTGGAGAAAAAGGTAATGTTGTCTAGAAGTCATTGCAATGTGTCAGTCAAGCTTGTTGTGAGTTTTAACACTCCTGCATAAGGTCAAGCTTTTGTATCTATAGGTAAAGCTAGGGTTTAGGTGTTGAAGGTGGGGTTGTGGTCTTAAAAAATCCATGCTGCTTTGTGGAAATCCTAATATCCATGTCCCTAGAAAAGCACAGTCATCTGAAGGGAGCACTGGGCAGGAAACCCAAGCCACTTCTGTCAGACACACATAAATATAAAATGATGAGCTGTAAAGGAGTCCAGAATAAACCAGATTTGTTTCTCTGACCTTGAACCATCCAAACTGAGATTGCAGTAACACCTTATCTCCTTCAAATCACTGGAGAAGCTTGCTTCAGCCTTCCTGAGCTCCGGATCACCTCTGGAGGGGCTGTACTCTGCCCTTTGCCAACCCCCGCCAGGGAGCCCCAGGTGCTGCTAAGGTTCAATGGGACACAATTCATACTCTGGTCATTTTTTGGGAACCCATTTTCAGCAACAAGTCGAGTTCTCTGTCTCACAAACATGAGAAAGAGAAGTAACAGCCCTAGGGCTCCCAAATAGCTGATTGCTTCCTGATTTTGTTTCGGATGTCGTTGTGAGGTAAAGAGCTTTTCAATCTCTCTGTCTCCATAATAGAGACAACGTCGGCTCTAGATGGCTGCAAAGTTAAATCCAGTGAAGTCCAGAGGTACCCAGTTGGGGTATTAAGGACACTACATAAACTGCTGATTTTAATTGCCCAAAGAAAGTCAAAGTAAATTTTTTTCTTTTTTTTTTCTTTTTTTTTTTTTTTATCCAACCACAGATCCTTGGGATATTTGAGTGGTCTTCAGGTTAAACTCATTATTCCATGGAAAAAGCGTCAGTAATTAAGTTTGCACTAACGATTTGGATGTACAGCTATTCAATGCATCAGTGCGGGACTGGTTAAAAGCTCAAGCATTTAATTTCCCCCAACTCCTTCCCTTCAATTTTATAGCTGAAAACTGCTATAGAAATTAGCGGTTCACCTGTTCTGAGCACCTTTTATTTTGTGGTTCAAACATTGAGACCGTCTGTACTGAGAACTGTGCTTCAAGCTAAATAAAGCATCTTTGGGAATCGGATGCAGCTCCCATGTGACCAATATGTTGACAAGTAGTTGGAAGGAGTGACTGTGTGAAAACCGCAGCACCCTCGCACTATCATTAGAATGAGCCAAGCCGTCTGCGCAACATACAAGGTTTTCTCATTAGCAGCATTCATCCCTGTTGGAGGAAACTTCCCATGGAAGAAGTTTAAGTCTGATGATGGTGGCCTAGAATCCTGGTCCCAGTTAATCCATTCCTGTTCCTCTCCTGCAAGGGGCAGATAGTGTGGGTTCGTTCCCTGGCCTTTGGGTCCGTTCGAGCCCTTACAGCTTGCCCAGGGAAAGGGGAGTTTATAATGTTAGTTGTTTCCTACCAGCGCTAGGAACAGAGGGCCTAAACAGAAGCCAAGTAACAAGTTTTTGTGGAGAGAAGGCAGCCAGCAAAATTTCCCACTAACATAACCCTGTTTGCATTTTTACAGTACTCCAAGCAGGTGGATGACAGGTTTGGAGCCTACGTGGCTTGTGCCTCCCTAGTCTTCCTCTTCATCTGCTTTGTCCAAATCATAATCGTGCCACAGTGAGTATCTTTTCATCCCTTTGCTCCCATCTGCTCCCCTCTTCTATTCTGGCCTACTTTTTGGTTTTTTTTCTTGAGAATTCAGAACACCAAGGGGAGGAGAAAAATCCTTAAATAATTCATGCTCAAGTGATGCATGGTGCTTATTGTTTTCACTCATTTCTAGTGCAGATTAAAACCTCCTCACTGGCACGTGAGGATTTCTGTTTTCCCAGTGTGATTTCTCTTACCATTTACCTCCATCTTAGGAAATTCAGCTCAGCACGTTTATAAGTGTGTGGAAAACAAATATGACTAAGTAGGAAGGATTGCCTCCTCAGGCATAGTACGCATTCACAACATGAGGCTAGGCTGTCCTCTTATCTGAACGCGGTGGGACAGAGAGGTGAAAAACCCATCACGGCCTCGTTGCTCAGAGCACTGAGGTCTCAGGGTCTGCTTCACAGATGAGGCATAACCTCTCATGCATTTATTCTTGTGGACTCAGGGCAGCAGTGCAAGAAGAAAGGTACAGAAGGAGTTGAGCTACACATGCCTGTGCTTTGGGTAGCTTTCTCCGGGGTTAGGGTTTGCAGTCATTTCTTTCCCCAGGCAAGAGTGGCATAAGCTCCTCAGGGCTGTGGGGCACAGTGCTCTTGGACCACTGCCGTGCATTGCTTTGTCTGAAGGGCACACTGTAACCCATTGGATCTTTTTTCAGCAGTGAGCTCTGCAGACATGGTATTTTTTCTCAGAGAGTTCATAAAAAAATCCCTTAAAGCGTGTTGGTATTTCCTGTGCTCTGGTTTAGTAGCAATAATATATCATTCACTGAGCACTGCTGTGCTGGAAATAAATTTGGACTTAGTCATTTTTAATATGAAGAACAAGATCACAGAAACTCTGAAAATGCTACAAATTCATCTTCATTACAAGAAAACAAAAAATTGTTTAAAGAGAGCTCCAGTACTGTTGTATGCCATTACAACTGCTTTCTACTTCTGTTCGCGCCACAGATCTTTTCAGAGTAGAGATTGGTTTGTACTGCTCAGTTCAGATGATACTCGGAGGGTCGCAGAAACAACGGATAGTCTGATGTTTGAGGTCATTCACTCTCCCAGGCAAGAGGGCATTCACTTCTGATCACAGAAAGATTGAATCAGCAAAACCACATCAGTACAAATGCACTGTGTGAACAGACACATTCACTTTGGGAAACTGGAAGTGAGCTGGAAGAGGCTCAAAATTGAATCTAGATCAATCCCAGCAATTAACGCACTGTTAATTATGGCCAAAAACGTTCTTTGAGAGTAATTCATTTAGTGAGGTCTTATGCTTTGGCTCTCTGGATATTACTGCTGTGACTTCGCACCTTCAGAGGCTCTCTACCAGCCTTAGTGTTGCTCATCAAACTCCCTAAGCAGCCACTAAGCTGCCTCCATAAAACCCAGTTTAACATTTAAATGACATCTTGACAATTTCTGGTCTGTGGCAAACATATGGCTGACTCCTTTGTATTACAGGGGAGCCAATCCCTTATGGCAGCGTGGTGTAAATGTCATGCTGCTCAGTCTCCTTCCACACTGCCCAGAAGGGTGGTGGTTAGCTTTTTTGGTAAGTTCTAAAGTGTCCTTAGGCAGCCTGGCCTGACTGAAAGATGGTTTGGTTCAAGAGTAAATAAAATTTCATGTTTTAACTGCAGGTCAGATATACTCTGCTTCACCTTTTGGTTTGTTTTCCATATCTTTCAACTGCCCGGTTTTGGTCTTTTTTTGAAGGTTAAGCAGTTAACCACGGGTGTATATGTGTCACCATCAGAGCTTCATGAAAGACACAACATGGAATTTTAATCTGAAACTAGAGACAAAATGGCAGTGATAATTTATGATGATAAAGATGAATAGCTTTAATGAATTTCACAAAGGCTCAAACAGTGAATTAGCAAGTACAATTATCTTAGTAGTCACAAGAGAACACAGAGACCAACGGGCTTTGGTGTGGTTGCCCTCAATGTCACATCGCAAGAATACTTCCTTTAAATTATGAACAGGGCTAACTGCTGGGAGGGGGCCTGTCCTGTCACACTGGGACCAATCACTGGAAATTGTTGTTGAATATCTTCACGATCAAAACACATGAAAATGCATAGTACAGAGTTGGCCCTGGGGTCCTGTTTGTACTTCAAAGTTGGGAGGAACAGGAACCTATCAAGCTGACCAGGCTAAAGCTGTTTTCCCTGACTATCCTCGTGCCATGGTTGCTCCCAACCCATGCACAAGACAGAGTAGGGAGGGTGGTCCAGCACAGACGTCCCCTGTGCACAGCAAGGCCAGGTAGCTATTCCCATTGAGACGATTCCCACTCGGCTGCTCTGCGGTGCTCAGCACGCTTTCCCTCCCAGGGGTCTCCTGCCCACAGCCAGCTGGGGGCCGACCCGCTGTAACAAATTGTTCTATCAACTCCTCTAGCACATGAAATATTTCTCAGTCCCTCTGCTGTCACCCCGGCAGGAAGGTGATTGCTGTAAAAGATGCAGTATTCTCTGCACTGCAGCCTGCATGAGTAATTTGAAATAGAACAGAGTATCTGTTGGTATTCAAGGCACCTCACTTCTCCTCCTGCTATCCTAATTGGAAAGCCCGTGCAGTGTGTCATAGCTCATACAAATGTCATGTTCTGGAGGGCAGAGCTGTAGCTATTCTATATGGTGTGCATTTAAAAAAAAATATCTCCTTGATTTCAGCTCTACATTTATGCTGGGTTTTTACCTGACCTGTTTCCTGATCCTGACCACAGTGGTGTTTGTTTCCGTCATTTACTCCTGTGTAAAGGTGAGTACAGTGTTTTTTTTCTGGAGTCCTTTGCCTGAGCTAACTAGATCAGCAATCTGCAGCTAACAGAGCATGTTTTGTTAGCCATCCTTTCCACACTATGTGATAAGGGTTACAGAAAAAAGCCTTTGATAAGACAGACTGAACTGCAAACAGATGTTAGGGTTGGCATCTCTTTAGCTCATTGAGAAGTAATCACTGTGTGGATCTGCATGTCTATTAAGTCCCCTGCAGGCACTCTCACATTGATATAAGAAGAATACATTTCCCAATGCGGAACAAAACACTGACTGACCGTTTTCCTCCCTGTAAACTTCCTGCGGAGTCGCCTGTGTCCTGGCCCCTGCTGCATACGCATGTTTGGGCAGGCAGATAATCAGCAGCAGAATATCATCAAGGAAAAACGTCTTGGGGGGAAGTAAAAGCTGTAAACATATAGAATTTTATCAGCCTTTCTCAGATGAGTGTACAGAGCTTCCAACATTTGGTGGGCTCTTTCTTGTAAATGGTTTTGATAAGCAAAGAAATACATTGTGTGAAATCTGAAAATGTATTAATTCTTCTTGGCATTCTGTGGAAAATTGGCAGTCAGTGCTTTGGGAAGGGTGATGTGCTCATCTTTTTCACTCAAAGGTATTCATATTAAAATGTTGATCATAGTTGATTGTATTTGCAGTTTGGGGGATCCTTCCAATCTAGCAATGTCTGAATATGGAAAAGTTCAGGTTCGTGCTCTTTAGCCCAAGCTCAGCTTTGCTCCTCAGAGCCTGGAATAAAATAGCTCAGTAGCGGCATGTTTCCTGCAAAGAAGCAGTGGGGTAATGGATTATGTCAGGCGGATGATTTGCCTCACTTTAATTATCTTCTTTGTGCCATTTTCAACAGTTGAATGTGGGTGCTCTTGACAGACTTGCACCTTTCCTGTCTTTTTGATTTTTGAAAGTTAGATTTGGAGAATTAAGGTTTGCCTTCTTGTTTAATAAGAGCTACAAACTTCCCAGTGAAAGAAGCTTCAGGTTATATTTGAACTTAATAACTCACGGGGCTTCCCTTGGGCTTATGACAATTTTAAAAGGAGCGTAGCTCGTAAGCGCAGCATCCCGTTGGCCCTGCTTGTTTACCAGCGGTGAGACTTGCAAGGCAGAAATAACAGTGCTAGTAGGAAGGCTTAGGTCCCTTGAGCTGGGAAATGGTACCCAAAGATGCCTTGTTATACTTGGTGTGTCCACTATACATGAGGATGCTACTGAGTGTCATTAGTTTGTAAACTGGTGTTAGCAGTTAATGTGATTAGCAGTTAATTAACAACCAGTGTGGAAAGCTTTTGGTCACAGCCACAGAGGACTTGGAAACTCGGTGCAGAGCTGTGCTGGAGCCTACCTAGGCTGCGGTGCCACCAGCAGCAACATCCCAGCACACTGCCAGCTGTGCAGAGTCACACCAACACACCAGTTCTACTGGTGCTGTGCACATATTGGGGCAGGGGCTGTGGCAGACCCAGGCCTCTGAAGCATTCAAGCTGGCTGACTTGCAACCAGATGGATTTCAAGGCGCACAGCTGTTTGTCACCCACTGGCTTTTACCAGCTTCGGTTGCTTCCACATACCCAGCACTCATTTCTTCTGTCATCATGCAAAGGTTTTGCTTTTGGTTTGGGCTTTTTGGCTTAATATTATTACCAATCTTAATTAACGACTCATTTAAAAGGCATGCAGGATTTTTCAGTCCCTGTGACCCTAGGCAGATGGTTCAGTCTTGGGTTTTTTGCCTTGATCTTCCACATTCCTGTAGAAGAGGTCTGTTCAGTGGTGCCTGCAACTGGTTTTAGGCTGGCTTTGCCTCAGTGCACAGGACCTGGAAACACAAGGCATCAGAAGGAATTCAGGCTAACATCAGAATTTAATGGGATTTTATGAAGCTCCCTCCTGGTATTCCCTGAAGTGAGTTTTCAGCATGTTGGCCCAGACCCACAAGGTGCTTGTGTATAACATTCAGCGTGGCCGGTGCCTTCTGTGCGCAGATTGCAAATACTGAAAATTCCGGGGTTTCTAGCTCCAATACCTTTTTGATTACCCTGGTTTTAGTGCTCCAAATTAGCCTCTGCTGACAACATCTGATTATGAGATGGCTTGTTTAGGGGCCAGGTACTTCTAGCTTGTCAGCCGCTGTCTGATGGCAGCAGCTCCCGGTAGCTGCAGCCCACTTCTGTCATTAAAGATTCTGGTGTTTCAGGTCAGAGTTTTTTAAGCAAGGGTTTTACCCAGCCCTTGGTTAAAGGCTGTTCCTTTTATTTCTCTACTTCACCTTGCTCCAGGAAGCATTTTTACACATATACACAAGGAAGGCACTTTTACAGATCCTTTAGATGAAATTTTAAGACACAGGGACATCGGGATAATTTGTTTTGTTTCACACTCGGATGTGGGATAGGAGAGCATGTGTTTTACATACCAATGGTTCATTCCGCACAAAGTTTGAAAGCAGGTGTCCACCCCAGGATATCTGCATAAGCATAACTTTTGCCTGTTTGCTGTGCTGTTACATGATAAGCAGCTCTTTTTTTCTTCCTCTTTCTAGCTTTCATGTGAGATTTTCCTTCCCTCTTTCGGCCTCTCCATCTCTGGCTTTGACAGTAGCCAGCAGGCTCTTTCTGGATAGCTTGATCATGATTTATTTTCTTTTGCTGTCATTATTATCTTTCACTATAAAATTCTCCACGGACTAGAAGTTGATCCTGGAACTGTCAATGCAGCCAGCTTGGCTTTCCAAGTTTCTTCAGCTGTAATAAACAAGAGAGTTCCAGTTCTTCACTTTGATGCTCCATGAAGACTTGGCCACTGTGAGATGGTGTTCCTTCCCAGTAGAGTCTAAGGTCATGGGAACCAGGGTCCCTTCGCAAATACTCCACTGACAGACATCTGTTTTGCTACTAACTTATCAAGTTTGTGTTTCTTCTTAAAATCCTTAACTTCTGGTATCTACGCTGCTGTGTGGAGTTCAACTTCTTGCATGTTCCTGGGAGCACATAGGAGAGAAGTTTCAAGTTATCTTTTACAAGAAAATAAGGTTTTCTCTAGCTTTACTTAGTTGCAGCTTGCCTACCTGTTTCTTTGCCTCCCAAAAGTGGTCTTGATGCTCCTAGAGTGTTTTGGTTTTTTTTTTTCTTCTCAAGCAGGGGAAAAAATACCTCTGAAAACTGTACCTTTTAATAGACTAATAAATCACTGTGAAATAAGTTACATAAATGGACTTGCAACATCAAGTTGCCTGGAGATGTTGTCTTTTACTACAGAAGCATCTTAATGTACTTCAAAATGACTCAAAAGCTTTTATTACAAATTGAAAAATCAGAACTTAAAGACCTCATCTTTTTTTTCATCTCATAACACAACAGCAATTATCTAGGCAGTTTTCCATGTCCACAATATATGTTAAGAAGACAAAAAGGAGAACTACTACTCTTCAGTCTGAAATCAGCTGTTATTGCCAAGTATAGTTTTTATTTAATGTATTTTTGTCATGCAAGTGACTGGAGATTGTGAAGGGTGTGTAACACCAGTACTTGTTGGATCGCTTTTTAAATTCAAACTTTTGCCCTACCTTCCCCTTCTATACTCATTAGTACCTGCACGCTTTCAGAGCCTCTATTCTGGGGCATAATGTCTTCCAGCAGCATTTATGCTTTTCAATTCAGAGCAAGCTAGAATCAACTGGAAAATCCAATTTCCTTTTTCCCCACTGTGTTTATTTTTCTTTATACGGGGATTTTAAGAGGGTTGGCAACCCAAACATGAATGTCAGCTGCCCAAATGGATCACGTCTTTTCTTTCAGCCCCTGTTCTCAGTAGTGCACATGTGGGCTTAGAGTTGCCATTTCATCAGACCTTCCCTTGTCCTGTTCTTCACTCAGCCAAGATTTGAGTCATTAAGAGGAGTAAATGGTGTTGGACAGAACAAACCAATGGGCTAACCATCAACAGTGCATGGATTTTCACTTTACTATAATGTCCTGATGTTCTGCTTCTTTTCCTAGGACAGAAGGGATTTTATTTTATTTTATTTTATTGGAGAATGGAAGGGGAAGTAACCTTTTCTTTTTTCTTCTTTTTTGTTATACCCCTGACTTATGGATGTTTTTATGGAGGGAACATTGCGAGAGCATAGCTGAATTGTCAGAGACAGGTCCCCCATTTCTGTTGTAGAAGTCCTCCAAGCTGCAAGTATTCCTGGTCTCTTATCGGCCTCTGTGAAATGGGGAGAGCAGTACTTATGTTCTAGAGCTTCCATGAATGTTGTTCAAAGGAAGAGGTTCCTCAGATGCACAGGATGGCTGTGCCATTGCGCTCTTTATTGCAATCCTGACTTCCTATGGTTTTTGGCATTGGTTTCCTCTTCAAGACTTTTTCCAGCTGTACTTATTTACTGACCTAAAATTTTCCCTATTTTGCAAAGTACTGAGAATCAAGATTAATACAAAGAAAACATGTTTTCATTAGAATTTAAGTGTCTTCCACAGATTGCTTTGCTTGATATCTCAGGCTTGGTTCAAAGTCAGGCTTTTTTGGGATCATTGGCAGCAGTGGCTTGAGCCAAGATCCACAACAAAGCACTCCCAAGTTTTATTTAGGTGCCTGATTTCCCAGAGATTACAGAAGGAGGTTAGGTCCGTGCATACCTTTGTGGAGCTTGGCCTTGAGGCCTAAACGAAGGGGTGGCAGGAAAACCTGTCCTGCTCTAATCTAGTGAGAAAACTGTCTAAATGTTCTCCCTCCAAATCCTATAAAGGTTGGGGTGGAGGAAAGCCCCATGACATTTCCCACATCCCCGCACTGGTAGGGATCTGCTAGATGATGTCCACATGGAAGCAGCTGGATGTGGTAGGGCAAGGAGATATTTTGGTTCATGGCTTATCAACAGAGCCAAGGATTTCTATATCAGCAAGGTTTATTTCTGAAAGAGGTGGTTTGCTTTGTTTTACAGTAACTGCACAAGCCTGAAGGATTGCATAAGCTTTCAGTGAATTTCAATCAATCCTCATTTGGTGCAAATAAGTCATAACCCCAATTTCCCCTTTCCTGCTGTCCCCCCCCAGAGTCTTGCCCTCTCCTCTCTCCTGGAGTTAGATGGATTTTTGTGCATGTGCTGGTAGCAGGTGAAATCAGCTCTTTCAAAACTCTTGCCACAACCCCTCTCTCCCCCTCTGTAAAAGTCACCAGCTAATCAGTGCTTTGGCCGTTCAAACACTTCGTAATTACGTTGTAGGACTGCTGTGTGGGAAGCTATGCACTGACAAAATGTTGCATCTCTGAAGATGTAAGAGTGAAGGTTAAAAGAGAAAAGCAAGACTTTTAATAGAAACATTAGTCATAGTTAAATTGCAGTGCCGTGTCGCTGCGCTGCTAGCTTCTTTGTGTCTCTAAAAATACCCTCTAGTGGGTGCCCTGGCACAATGGCGTGGAGGGGACGGGCACCGTGGGACCAGTGCTCTCCACTGGGAGGGTGTCCGTGCACAAGGGTTTCCTGGCGTCCATCTCTCGTTGCTCCAGCCCCGAGCTTGTGCCAGGGCGGTGGTGGCGCCTGAAGAGAAATGGTTGGTTTCATTGTTTTGTGGACTTTTTTTGTAGCTAATGCAATGCAAGGAGGCCTCATGCGATGTAGAGGGTGACCCTTGCTGCAAAGGCCACCTGCTTAGTCTCTGCTTTACACAAAGACTGCTTCTTCCCAGAATGTGATGGAGCACCTAAAGCAAAGCATGCTGGTGGCCTGCAGTCAGAAAGCAATTAGAAGAAAGCTTCCAGCTTTGATAGTAGTGAATCACCGGGACAGTCTGTCTAGGGGAGCTCTGTGATCACCCTCACCAATGGTTATTTTTATCCCTGTGTGTCTGCGGTGCCGAGTGCCATAGACCAGGCGAGGCCAGCTGACTTCTCCAGCGCCTTTCACTGAGGATCTGACAGATCATGAGACTAGCCTGTGCTTTTTAACGGTCTGTTTCCGAAATGGCACCAGAAAGTCCTACGATATGCCTTTGTGGTCAAAGGGATACGACGTGTTTCTTCATTTCTCCTTTTTTTAATTTTTGATCCAGTAATTTACAGGCTCGAGCTCCTGGCTATTTCAGTTACAGATGGCTTGTGGTTTGCTTCTCACAACAGGATGAGCACAGCCCTGCAAGCCATGCTATCTCAGCTCAGGAGCCATCGTTCCCATTGGGAAGGACTAAGTAGACTTGGTGAGCCAGCTGGGCCTGCTGCCACAAGGCAGTCACCCTTGCTTGCCCTTGTCCCAGAGCCGCCATCCCCCATAACCATTCTCTAACCCCTGTGCAGCATCCAGCATCCGCACAGATGCCGTGCTGAAGGATGTGGGCAGCTCAAACACAGGTTGTAATCTGTAAAACAAGCAATGATTTTACATGTTTATTCAATCTTTTTTTTTTTTTCCCCCCACATGCAGCTTTTCCCAGCTCCACTCCAGACTCTTTCTAAGAAGATTGTACAGTCCAGGATCAATAGTACCTTAGTTGGAGTCTTTGCCATTATCCTGGTTTTTCTATCTGCCTTTGTCAACATGGTATGTGCATTATTTCCTTTCGACCCCTTCAGTTCTGCATGGCTTTCTTACTGGTGCTCTGCAGCATCATAACCCTTACAATTGCTGGATTTAATGTAATCCTGTCTGACTCTTACAGCGTCTGAGGTCAGTTCCCTTTTGCTTTTCAGGCACAGAAAAGAAATGGGAGCCTGGCAGCTGCATGCCTATAGCCCGTTATATGCCTGGCACTGATTTGTGCCCGTGTTCATTTCTGATTCTTTAAATGCTTCTGCTCCAAGTACATAAGCCAAGCCCAAAGCGTACCCCTGCGCGAAGGGCCAGCACAAGGCCGATGTGTCATTTAACTCCCACAATATTGAGTGGGACTTAAGTGTTGTGTAGGCTTTGTGCCGGCCTTCTGCACGGTGCTGCAGCCTGCTCCAAGTGCAGTAATCACCTAGCAGGGACTGTGGAGACCTTGCTTTGAGTTGCACTTTTGGGACCGGAGTGGTCTAGCTTTGCATTCAAATGCCACTGCTGAGTTCAGGCTTGGAGAGAGATGGGCTGTCCTTTAGGGCCCTTTGGCTGCTGGTTTCTCACTTATACCAGTGAACGTATTTTAAAGAACATATTTTAAAGAAACCACATGAATATTCTCTACCCTGCAAACATCTATTTCATTTTTTTAAGAGAGGGGGGAAAAAAAGAGAGGTGGGCCTGGGGTTAAAGCCCTGAGCTTGGAGATAGCTACAAAGACTTCATATGGCCCTCTGCTCCTCTCCGGTATGGCCTCAGCAGGGGCAGTGCTGACTTGCACTGGCATGGAGAGGATTAAGCACCTAGAAGTCAGACCACTACTTGCTCTTGCCTCAGCTTCCCTGTACACACAGTGGAGACTTAGGAACAATTTTATGCTCTGTTGAGGCACTTGAATGGGAGGCGCTAGTTCAGTGGCATCGACACCCCACCTGCAAAGAGCTGGTGTGGGTTGCTGAGCACTACACAGAAATTACAGCTTTGGTTTTCTGCATAATGTGTGAATCTTTGCGTTTGTGAACTCCTTAGTGTAAAAATTAGCAAAATGGACAAAACAGCAGCACCAGAGAAATGGGCCTCTGCTGCTTTCTCAGTATAACATAGCACATCAGCCTTTGAGCCTGGCTGCTAAAGTCTTCCCTGTAGAAGGACCCACAGCAGAAATGTGGCAGGGGAAATTTATCAGCTCTGAAATTCCTGTCAGCAGAAATAGAGCAACACCAGGACCTTATCACAGACAGCGGGATATATTTGTATGTGTAATATCTACAGTCCTTCTGCCTGTGAACCTTCAGACGTAAAGTTGTACGTGAAGTTGAGCATGTAACTAGCTTTCTAGAGTGCACAGCCTGGATTATATTAATTAATATTTTGGGAGAGAAAAAATATAGCCATTGCACATGCAGTAAAACATAAGCCAGTGATTTCGTTTTGCATATTTTGCACATTGCTACAGCCATTTCCAAGGGGCTTTTTAATTGATGAAGACTATTTTGTTTTCTTCTGCTTGTCTGTGCTGTTGAGTTTAATACCATCTTTTCCTTCAGTTCATGTGCAGCACTGTGGATCTTGCCAGCTGCATGGCTGCAGAATACAACATCACTCCTGACCGGGTGGACATATGCCTTATCAGCAACCTGACTTCCAACTACAGCCTGGGCACCTTGCAGGGATTCTGTGACAGTCCTTTGCCCAACTGCAACTTTCCAGAGGTATTGCTTGAAAAAAATGGGTTGCAGAGCTTGATCTGAGAAGAGGCTATAAAACCTGTGTGATAAACCTCAGTGATTCAGAGGCAAGCAAGGTTGCTCCTGACTGACGTTATAGGACTGACATAGGCTACAACACACAAACTTTAGTGTCTGAAGTTATTATCATGAGTCCACATTAATGTTTAAGTTCCTTCAGGGCTGAATAATCAGTGGGCTTTTAAGACTGCTGGATCCTTGCCTGTAGCACGAGAAATGGCCTTTCTCCATCAAGTCCTTAATGGCATGCAGAACCGCAAGTTGTTTCAAAGGAGTTTGTGGGTACTCAGTGTTACTTGAAAAATCAGTTCGCTGAAAATCAGTGTCTAGTCATAGATTTAACCCTTCCCTCCATTTTTTTTTTAATGTCCTGATGAAAACTTTGCTTATATATTTTTTCACTAGGTGTAGTAGGTTCTGGCCTCAGGCAGGTTAGCAGCCCTGACAGTCGTCTGCTTCAATCTGCAAATGCAAATCCTACCTCTTCTGAACAACTTATTTAAAAAAAAACTAAAAATGCTTCTAATGGCAAAAAAGACCCCAGATATGTTTTACACACTGGTAGAATACTTTGCCAAAGCCATCATCTTTTTGCATAGCTATTCAAGACCTTTCTCCGAGTTTTTAGGTCATGGCCTGTGTGTTGTCTGCAGGAAATTGAAAAGGAAAAAATTCTGTCTAGGATGGGGGCAGAATTTATGTTAAGGTCATCTGGGTTTATGGGGACCTGACAGTTTTATGCCTGATCTGTTATCATCCAGATGTCCAAGGTGCTACTGAAAGCCCTGGTATCCCACTGAACATATTTCCACTTAATTTAACAGGAATATGGTCCCTGTCTGATTCAGTGAGGTTTCTGAGACCACCATTACCATGACTTTCAACCCTGCAAAGGCTCTCAGTATGTCTGCAGAAAGACCCAGGAGAAAAATCTGGCACAATGGAGAACTAGAAACGATGTGTGCCCATCATGAGGCTGTCAGGAGTGCCGGTTCGTGACAGAGAGGGATTTTAAGCAATGAGGAACAACCATTTTGCATGCTGAGGATGCTATGACAGCCTTGAGCCAGGTCCTGCCTGTCAGTGGGCTAAGAAGTGAGGAGTTCCTTTCCCTGCACTCTGCAGGGCAGATGTCAGATCTGGTGCAGGCATTGTCTGTTGCCCCCAGTGTGCTTTCAGGAGATGGTGGGATCCTACCCCTCAGCCACAGGGAATATACACCCATTTGCTAGAATCTGAAGAGTCAAGTTACAAGCTGTACAAGTTATTTTCTCTAACTTAATCTATCAGTGATTAATAAATGAGCTCAGAACATAAGCGTATTTCTACTTCAACTACGGCTTGCTTTTAACTGAAGGGATGTATTGTCTCAGGCATCTGATGCAGTTTTTTTGCCAGAAATAAGCCTGTCTGGACAGAGTGGAAGCTTAAATCTTCACAGGTTTGATAGCAGGAAGGTGGTGAGCTGGATAACATGCCTCTCTCCTTTTTACATCCTTGCTAGCTTTCCCAGGAGCCATAAATGGCACCTGCAGTCTGCAATCGCACTAGCATGCTAAACATTCAGCTCTCAGGTTGGCAGAAGTTGCTGCCCCACCACCCAGGTGTAGCAGAAGGCTCCGCTACCACATGTGTGCACACTTCTGCAACTGCTGGCAGAAAAAATGATCGCTGTGTCATTGGTAGAAGTTTGTCCAGCCTGTATCTTGCCAATGGATTCAGTGTGTCACATCAGCAGGGGCAATACTTTTCCAACCGGCCTCAAGTGGGTATCTGTCCTGGTGGTGTGAATTGCTGATCCCCTTGGTTCTGTGTATTATGCAGATATGCAAATTCAAGTCCAGAATTTGACCTTAAAGCATGAAGTATTCCAGCATAACTGGATGGTGCTTTCTGCTAATTCAGTAACCATATCCAGTGCAAACCTACCTCACAACCTTGGGTATACAGCTGCAAGCCCTCTGCCTCTTGAGTGTAAAGCAAACAGTGCCTGATGAAGAATGCAAGAGTTTTCTCCTCCATCAGTTCAGTTTTAACACTTAAATCTCTATAATGTGGGAGAATCCCACAGGCGGCCCTAGGTTTACATGTTCAGTCAGCTCAACTACATAACTCCCAATCCCTCCCTATCCCTCTGTTTAGTTTCCTTTGTTTTCAGTTTTGATTTATCCAGCTGACATTCACCTCTCTCCTGTTTTTTTTTCCCCTCTTTGTCTTTATACAGTACTTTACCTACAGTGTCTTATTGAGTCTCCTGGCCTGCTCTGTGTTCCTTCAGATCAGCTGTATTGGAAAACTGATCCTTATGTTAATCATTGAATTTATATACGTTCTCATTGTGGAAGTGCCAGGGGTCAACCTTTTTGACAACGCAGATCTCCTGGTTACAGCTAACACCTAGTAAGTGCCTTTCACTTCTGAAATCTTCACCTAATTTCTTTCACCCAATGATTTCAGTGTGGCATTAGGCAGGTGGGAGCACCGAGGCTGTGGTGCAAGCAAGGGAAGTGCATGAAACCAGAGAAGGCATGGCTGTAAACTAAAGGCTTTGTCAATGCTGCTCTCCACCTCTGAAGAGTAGGAGAACACAGTTCCTTTTTTAATGTGGAACTTGTCTAATGAACTATTTATTAATAACAAAATATAACTGGAATCATAGTGGATCTGTATTTATTTTTCTTCCAGAAATGGGGAGCTATAGTTAGTCATTCTCACTTCTGGTATTACACTCCTGATATAGAAATGTCTTTTCTGTAAAAAGAAAGAAAAAAAAAAGCCTTCAGCAAACTTGAACTGGCTCAGGAACATGATAATGAACCACTGAGATGTTCAGGCATCTGTTATGTCAAAGCCAGGTTGGAGTGGTGGAATGGTGGTGTTTGATGTTTGGCTAGTGATCTCCTGGCAGTTGCTGTTGGACACATGTCTGCATTTGAAAAGCCAGTATCACAGCTGGTCTCTGCACAGTTCCCAGTAGAAGGGCCTGGGCTAACTGGGAGTAGACAGTTGCCCTTTTGCTTACAAAAGGTACTTTGTCATCACCAGGTCACACATTAATCATGGTGGCAACCTCCTTCCACTGACATGGTTACCCCTCTCCTGAAGGTCACTCCAGGGAGGGAAACTTGGCACATCCCCACCCAAGTTTAATTTCTCACTGGGAGTTGCACTGTTGTGTTAACTACTGGTTTTGATTATTTCTCCTTGTAGGCAACAGTTGTACTTGAATATGAGTCAATAAAATGATGGTGTTGTCTAAAGGTGAACATGGTACTAGGATGTATAAGGAGAGTTGCCTGTAAGACATGAGAAGTAGACCGTTGCTCTGATCAGGAGTGGGAAGGCCTAAACTGGAATATGTTTTCCAGTTTGGGGCAAGAAGGCAGTTCACAATAATGGAGAGTCCACAGCAGCAAAGAACCAATTTAGGTGAAACATTTGTCAAGGACAATAGCTTTGGTTGCTCCTATCTCGGACAGGAAGGTGGTTGAGAAGATCCCCATAGCCCTTCCCAGTGCTATCTTGTAGGTTATACAATAGCTTGTGTAGTTGCTCAAATTTCTTGGTGGTCATTAACCCCTTCAAGCAGGTGCACCTGGTTACTTCTGTCCTCCACAGAAATATTTCATGATTTTAGCATTCCTGTGTGCCCAGTGATAATTAATGGAGGTATGGCTTTTACTGCCATTGGCAGTAATCACTTAAATTATTTTGTTAACTCAAGCAAATGAAATTATGTAGGAAACCCCATGGAGCTTTCTGTGGAGGTATGGGGAGAATGAGGTTTTCTTCCTTTTTTTGCAGATGTTATGTATTCCAACAGCGGAAGCTATTTAGCATTTTCGAACACAATTAGAGAAATAAAAGCATTTTATAGCCCAAATATAATTTCACTCTTGTAAGTCAAGCGCTAAGCGAAATTACAGCACTTAGAAGTATAATTTACGTCACTTCACAATCAAAATGTCAGTAATAAAGTGGAGAAGGTTAGCATGTTTTCCCAGAAATAGCTTTCTGTGATGCTATATTATCTCTCACTAAATGATACTTGTTTTGTCCGGAGAGCTCCATGGACAGCTATTTATTGTCCCCGTGCCGGCAGTCCATTTGTGTGTGGTGGGAAATGGGAGCTCAGCATGTAGCGCACGGATCAGAGATGTACCTTATTGTCCAGCTGATTTAAAAAAAAAACCAAACAAAACAACATGACCTCATACTACTTTAATTGGGTGCCTGTCGTAGCTACATAATTACTGTCTGCTCTGCAGCCATTATGGCACTCTGACTAATTAGAAGCGATGCAGATGTCACTTCACACTTCTGTGTACAAACCAACCCAGCATGTGAGCAACTGAAAGGCTGATTATAGCACGTTGGGAGTTGCTAGACTTGACTGCAGCGACACACCAGCGCGGTGACACATGAAGTACAACTGGATGCACAGAGCTACTATCATATTGCCTCTTCCTTTCCATTTAAATAGTGTTTTAGAAGATCCACGTACATGGTTCTCAGCCACCTAATACTCCACTCACACTTAAGAAGAAACCCAGCAGCATTAAGCAATCAGTCAGGAACTCAAGACAGCTACTACCTACCAGAAAGCTCCTTTCCATCCTTTCACGGCAAGAAAAGCACACCCTCCAGCAGCTCTGCTTCGTACGAGTGCTTTGCAGTGTTGTGGATAGCAACAGCAATCCGCATAAGGGCTTAGTGCACTCGTGTGCGGTGCCATAGCCAGGCTCAACACTGGAGATGAGCAAATTGCAGAAGAAAGGACTAGTGCTGAAGGAATTAAATGCATCTCCATGCTACAATAAATGAGTAAGAGAGGAGCTATTCACCACAAGATGTTAGACCAAAGCTTCCTTCTTTAGATCAAATTTTCCAGCCTGGCCTAATGAAGTAGTAATGGATGCACAAACATTTGGTAAAGCATCCCACACTGACATTAAATCCCAGATGATTCTCTGACTCCTAATGCTTCTTAGGTATTTTAACCACATTAACCATGTTGCACCATCACTCTGGATTTTTGAGTGTAGCTCAGACGTCCTTTTTTCTCCTTCCCCCCCATCTTTTTGTAGTTTTCTGCTTTAAAAGGGCTATAGCCCCACACAGTGTTAGAGGTGCCACATTGCAGAGGTGTTGCTGAATGATGTACAGAAGGACGAGTGCTGGAGGGAGCCAGACACTCCACTAACCTTGTGTTTGTGTTTTGGTTTTTTTCAGTGTGTCTGCAAATGCAACGTTATCATGGTGAGTCACTTTGGCTTGAAATATTTTTAAGGGGTTTTGTTGGTAGGTGTCTTCTGTTCGCAAGGTGCTGGACTATGCCCTGGTGTGAGCTGGTGCCACACAGTGCAACTGCCCTAAGTGGCCTGAGCGTTGCCCTTTTGTACGTACAGCTGCTCTCAGCGCAGG